AAGTCCAATGAGATTAACTCTTTAGTTAGTACACAGAAAAACTGTGCTGCGTATTCCCCCCTCCCCCAAGATAAAACTATTTTGGGAAGACCGCAGGGACCTCTGGAAATCAAGCCAAGATAAACGACGGATCCATCAGCCTTCTGCACATTGGCTTGAGTGTCATTTTGTAGCAGAGTAAGACCAATAGTGTATAATACATCTGGTGACCTTGTGAAATATTTCTAATATTGAGATCCCTGGGATTAGATGGGTCTACTGAGAGAAGAAATGAAAAGCAGAATCGGGGAGAGATGGCAGGACCCTGGCTCTGTAGCTTACCTCTGTATTTGGGTGTGTCCTGCAAATTGACAGTGCTCTGTTGTGCCCCTACCTTTCGTTTCTGCACACTGCCGGTATGGTCACGTATGGTTTCCATGTAAGCCTGGTGAACCCAGCAGCCCCATTGACAGATACGTGGAACATGCTCCCTCCCATCTCCCCGTTTCTTCTGCACAAGAAAGAACTTCACATGGCATTGTAATTCTGAAGTGTGCATGCATGCATTTCGCCATGCAATTGTATACACATTGATGAAATCAAGCCGCTATACCAATATATTGCTTTATTTCTCGGTAGTAGTAAATTAAGGCTTTATAGTGAGTCACAGAGTACATGCCAATCTAAACATTAAAGCCCATTTGGAACCAAGTTGTGTTATCCTTTTCCGTTTAGCGCAGCCAGCAAGATACCAACTTTCTTTTAGGAAAAAAAGAAAAGACCCTCAAATCTTGCGTAAGAGACCTTATAAGATCAAAAGGCCCAGCTCTTAACCATTTCCCCTTCAGGACAGACTTACTGTGAGCTAAGGGTGGTGAAGAGAGTAGCTGGCAAGAGATAAGAGGACATCCTACTAAGTAGTCACCTTCTAAATGGAAAGAGGAAAGAAATTAAATGGATGTTAGCTGGTATATCATAGCGTTCCCCAGAATAGCTTGATTTGAGATGACCCCATCAACCAGGGGCGGAGGAAGGGGGGCGGTGGGGGCGGTCCACCCTGGGTGTCACCACTGAGTGTGGTGACAAAATGGCGACTGGCACTCACTGCCCCTCAGTGAGTGCCAGTCGCCTGCAACACACCCGAGCCATGTGTCTCTCCTGGGAGTGACGCGGTGGCTGGGGCATACTTGGCCTTTAATGCGGTTGGATAGATATGATCAGTTTGTAGAAGGAAACTGCAAGACATTATGAGTCGGCCCATGGAAGGTCAGCATTGTACTGAAAGAACGGACATGTGTCTATGCATGTATGTACATATGGAAGCCTCACAAAGGTAATCCATTTCACTTAAAACTAATCACCCCACAAGCTATTCCACTTGTCCCATTGATTTTAGTAGCAGAGATTTAAGCACATCCTTCAACACTATCATTGCAATCACTGGGACTTTAAAGAGCTTCACTTTGCAGGGTCATAGGGAGCAAGAATTGTTTTGTTTTCTTCCTTAACATACAGATTTTTCCTCCATACCAGGGCCACCGATTAATTACATCATCTGCCTCCAGTGCAGCTATTTTAAAAAAACTGGAAAAACAGAGTGTTTTCCTTCCCACATCTCCCTATAAGAGATGTTTTCAGCATCTGAGCTGCCACACAGAAACCAGTTGTCACCTGACCACAGGGGATTCCGCCTGAAGATATAATCACCCAGGGCTGGTTTTCATATCGAAGGACCAAAAAAATGGTTTGCCAAACACAAATTGGAATAGCATTTCCCAAAATACATAGTATCTGTGAAATGATCTTCCATAAAGGAGGAAGGAGAGGGAATTTATCGATCTTTCGAAGGGCAACTTCTTGCTGTTAATCTGAGTATCTGTGTTTTGGGAAGAATTTGGTAGTCTAGAATGAAGGTGGCAGTTTCTCTTACATCCAGGATCCTACCCTTGCAACCTGTAGCCACGGGAGAAGACTTTAGGTTATACACAAAGCATGGGAGGCAATGGGTGAGCCCAAACATAGCTAGTCAAAGCCCTGAAATAGAAACCCAAAGTGTCTTCTGCAACATATTGACGTTCTGTGGTGGCAGTTGTGCTGAGGTTCCTCAGGATTCCCTAAAGCTAGACAGTCTGAAAACTACTGATTTTGAGAAAACTCCAAAATCTATGTCAATTATGTAGAGGCAGCAATTCTCTGACCCCTTTTTAGGCTCTGAGTGGTGATTTCTGAGGTCGACAGAGCCCTGATTTCCCTAAACAGCTGCTGTCCTTCAGTCATGATTTCAAACACACAGACTTAGCATCTCTGGCAGTCCTTTGACAAGACACCCACTTGAGTTGTCATGCCCACATGAGATTGCAACTGAGTGTCCATACAGGACCTTGCCCTTTAAGTCTGTAACGGTGCAGAAATGATAACAACTGGTCTGACTTTTGTGGGTTTTCCTGAACTAGAGTGTACAGCATCGAAAACCACTGTTCCCCAAGGCTATGACCTTACAGGCTAATTGCTTTACTGTCTGGGAAATATCTCTCTGCCCCAGACAAAGAAATAGAAAATGCGAGTGGAAGTAATTTTAACAGCACAAGGCACCAATGCCAGCAAGAAACAAATAAGATGCCTGTGACTCCTATCAGATGCTACGAGGAGGATTTTGCCACTGAAAATTACAAAAAAGGCCATTGCCTTAAAAACCTTTAGTAATAAAAGAGGGTTTCTCTTCTCCAAACTGCAAGCGTCCAGACTCACTATGTATGTTGGATTTGCTGTTTTCTTGTCTCAATGAAAGAGCAGGTCATATATTTCAAAAGTTCTGGTGTCCTTCATATTTGAGGTCTTCCCTGGTTTATCGAAACGAATTGGTTTCAACTTTGCTTCAGGTTATGGAAAAGCATAACCTGAAGCTCACTGGAAGGACAGATTGTGAAGCTGAGGCTCCAATACTTTGGCCACCTCATGAGAAGAGAAGACTCCCTGGAAAAGACCCTGATGTTGGGAAAGATGGAGGGCACAAGGAGAAGGGGACGTCAGAGGATGAGATGGTGGGACAGTGTTCTCGAAGCTACAAACACGAGTCTGACCAAACTGCGGGAGGCAGTGAAAGACAGGAGTGCCTGGCGTGCTCTGGTCCACGGGGTCACGGAGAGTCGGACACGACTAAACGACTAAACAACAACAAATGGAAAAGCATCTGCAATACAGTAAGGCTTCCAGGATTTAGAAACCAAGGAAAAGGCAGTTTTCTTAAATATTTTCAATTAAGAATCCATTGGCTGAGCCACCTTAAGTATACCTAAGAGCTCCTCAGACTTATTACACATCCCTGGTGTTTGTGGGGCATCAGAAATATAGCCTACGTTTAATAGCTGTTGTTTGCATTATAAAGCTGCACTCAGAAAACTGGACCAGTTTAAAGAGGGAAAACGTGAGACGCTTAAAGGAAATTTGTGAGAACAGAAATCCCTGGTCTGGATGCCCGTGACTTGACTCTGTAAGCAGAGCCTGTCCTGACCTCCATTTCCCCTTCCCCTCTATGGGGATATTTATAGATTTATGAATAAACTAGAAAGTGCCTGCATGGGTAGAAAGTGAAGCATTTGAAAGGCAAGTCCTACACAGAGGGCAACAGGAGGAGGAGTGAGGAGGAGCGGAAAAAGCAAATGGGGATGAAATTGGGATGGGTGAGCACTGGGCTTTGCTGAATGAAAGTTAAGGAATTTCGGTCATAAGGCCTTTCCCAAATGTCATAACACTTCTTATTCATGCATTCTGAAGGAACTGCCTTTAAACCTCAAAAAGCTAAGGCTTCCTACCATCTTTTCAGACTAATAAAAACATGATGGGCATTATTCCCACTGGTCTCATTTCATGTTCTTGAGGCACTACATGGTGAGCTCGATACAGGTATTAATGGAAAGTGTCATGCGCGTATCGAAAGTGTAGACCTAGCAAGGATCCTACTGTGTTGTTTTGGGCCAGCCATTCCCGAAATACAGTGGTACCTCGGGTTAAGTACTTAATTCGTTCTGGAGGTCCGTTCTTAACCTGAAACTGTTCTTAACCTGAAGCACTACTTTAGCTAATGGGGCCTCATGCCGCCGCCGTGCCGCTGGAGCACGATTTCTGTTCTCATCCTGAAGCAAAGTTCTTAACCTGAAGCACTATTTCTGGGTTAGCGGAGTCTGTAACCTGAAGCGGATGCAACCTGAAGCGTATGTAACCTGAGGTACCACTGTACTACTGAGAGCCCAACCTCAACTTTTCTGTACATTGCCTGTTCTACAGAAAATGGTATAAAGTTCAACAGAATGGAATACCCAAGGACATCTTCTATGGGGAACTGGCTTCAAGCTTCAGACCAACTCTGCGCTACAAAGATGTCTGCAAAGATGACACGAAGGCTGGCGACATCAACCCTGCCCTTGCAGAAAACAGCATTGCCTGGAGACAGGCAGTCAAGTCATGTATCCATAGCAGTGACTAGAGGAGGAATAGCTGCTGGGAGGAGCACAGAGAGAAGAAACACCATGGTGCATCTGCAACAGCACAACCAAACGCCTTAATCTGCCCCAGCTGCAATGAAACATGTTTCTCCCATATTCGTCTACACAGCCGCAGCTCCAATGGTTTGACTGCCCCCCCCCCAGGCGCACTCCTCCATCGTCTCCTGAGACAGATGGATGCCAACAAATGATATTTTAGACAATATGCAGCCTGTTGAACCAGGGTGTAGCTTTGCTTCTAGTAAAGGTAAAAAGGTAAAGGACCCCTGGATGGTTAAGCCCAGTCAAAGGCGACTATGGGGTTGCGGTGCTCATCTCGCTTTCAGGCCAAGGGAGCTGCCATTTGTCCACAGACAGCTTTCCAGGTCGTGTAGCCAGCATGACTAAACCACTTCTAATGTAACGGGACACTGTGACGGAAGCCGGAGTGCACGGAAACACCGTTTACCTTCTCGCCGCAGCGGTACCTATTTATCTACTTGCACTGGGGTGCTTTTGAACTGCTAGGTTGGCAGAAGCTGGGATTCGAACTGCCGACCTTCTGATCAGCAAGCCTGAGAGGCTCAGTGGTTTAGACCACAGCGCCACCCACTTCTAGTGTATTGCATCAAAGTGCAGGCAGCAATATAAGACTCAGATGGAAGAAGAAGGACTGACTGTGCCATGACAAGTTTTATGGGTTCGCTGATTGTCGCATTTGTGTCATAGGCTGGCCACCCATTGCTAAATGAAAAGAGACAAGGCTAACAGATCCTGAGGGGATGAGGAGAAGACAGGCTCAGATTGCAGGTTTGTGATTATGAATTCTAACTATAAAGGATTTACTATAGTGAAGATTTGAAATGTTCAAGAGTTTCTTTGGAGTCTAGCAGAAAGCACTGAGTCCGAGAAAACCCACACCCTTTCAGATCGGGGATGGAAACGTGTGGCTTTCCAGATTTTGTTGGGCTCCAATTCCCATAACCCTCAGCCACCAAGGCCAGGCAAACTCCCGGCAAGTCACAGATTCCCTGTAATTGTTTTAGAGATAAATTGTGATGGCAGGGAGGAAACGAGAAAAGAGCGTTGCAAGAGCTACATCATGTACACAGATGCTTCTTCCAGGGACAGGAAACTTTGATGCAATCTGAGTTAAAGGTGGCTTATGACACGCTTCAAAGAAAAGCTCTCAACAGGACTCATGACAGACACAAAGAGCAGGGAGCAGGCAATTTGTTCAGTGCTGAACATCACATTCAAAACACACCTGTGCCAAAGCTAGTTTGCTGCTGGTTGCCTAATTACAATGACTCGTAATGACCATAGTTGGTGGGTGTATTGCACTTCTGCCTTGACACCATTGTTCATTTCACTGTAATTCCAGCACCGAAAATGTAAAAAAACTCACACGCCCTAAAAACAGACAAACCTGACAACCTCTCAAATGACAACATGGGCTAAGTCTAGATATTATGGCCCTAATTTAGCTAAAAGGTAGCTGTGGTGAAGTTTTGTTGAAAGCAATGAGACTTGTCATGGCTTCTTCCATTTGTTTCAGTAGGATTTCCAGTACAATCCTATGCATGTCTACTTGAAAGGAAGGCTCATTGTTTCCAATGGAATTTACGCCCAGGTAAGTGTGTATAGGCCTGCAGCCTTAGTCACAACTCACTTGGGCATTTGAAGCCAAAATCAAACTGGGACTTCTGTTATTCTCTTTCCAAACTGTACACACACACACACACACACACACACACACACACACACAACTATCTTGTAGCTCAGTAACCGTAAAGGCTAGAGAATTACGTTTTTAAAATACTAAATGCTGGCATTTTAAAGATTTGAACAAGGCCACTAAAAGGTGTCTTAGGGACCAAATGTAGATGATGCTAAGCCTCTATGTTTTCTGCTTATGGCACACAGAAAGTACAGCTGCTGTATACAGACATTCCGTGCAAGTGTACATACAGACATGTTTAATACTTTGCTTCCCTCAACAAGTGAGACCTGTCGCTTCAGAAAAAGGCAGGGTTGGTGTGCTCTATAATGCAGCGCTTGCAATGACGTTTGACAAACCGCAAGGCTTCCACCGAGATCTCGCAATCCTGCACGTTCATCATCTGCAAATCAAAGCAGTTGGCCGCCACAATTTGCAGGCCTTGTCCGGTGATGCTTTCGCACGACTTCAGGCTCAGCCTCTTCAGATTGAAGCAGTTCAGAGCCAGGAACTCCAAGCCGGCGTCGGAGACCAGAGGACATTTCCCAATGTCTAGCGACTTGAGTTTTGTGCAATTTTTGGCAAGGTACTCCACTCCGTGGTCCGTGATGCCCTCACAGCCCCGTGCGTTGAGGTATCGCAACTTGCTGCAGTACTTGGCGATGTAGCGGATGCCGACGTCGGTGATGCGGGCGCAGTGGGCGATGCTGAGGTACCGCAGGCGCAGCTCCAGCTTGGCAATCTCGCGCATGCCGAAATCGCTGACAAAGCGGCAGTCGCTCACGCTCAGCTCCCTGATGGACGTGCAGTAAATCATCAGGTAACGGAGGCCTTCGTCGGTGATGCGGATGCAGCGGCGCAGGTACAGGTGTGTCAACTGAGTGCAGTGGGCAGCAATGGTGTGCAGGCCTTCATCTTCAAGGACAAAGCAATCCGTCATGTCTAGGTAGCGGATAGAGATCTGTTTTCCATGTAAAGGAGACAACTTGATGGAAGCTTCACGGGTTAGGCTGATGCATGTAACTTTGGAACAACCTAAATTTGGGGAGGAAAAGAGAAGGTGGTTATTTGTGGCTCTGCATCGATGACTACTTCTCCTTTAAGAAAATAAAATAACCTTATTTAGCGGGGTCTTCTATGCTAGGAATTGGAAGCTTCAGGACCTGTAAAAGAGTTTTGGGAAATAATCCATAGTGAATTGGGAAAAAAATGTTTAAAAGTACTTTTCCAAAAAAGCCAGAGTCCTTTTCGTTGGGGATAATTCAGATGGAAATTCCCAGGTGTCAAAAAAAGATTATTTATGTATGCTACTACTGCGGCCCATGTTTTGTTAGCCCAAACATGGAAAACGAATGAGGTCCCAACCAAAGAAGAATGGCAACTTAAGCTGAGGGAATATGTGCAGCTTGCAGACTTAACATATAGAATAAGAGAACAAGAAGAACATACGTTTAGAGAAGATTGGAAAACGTTTATTGAATATATGGGAAATAACTGTGGACAGCTGAAAATGCTGGCAGCATTAAGATAAATCAAACAGTGTAAACAAGTTTTGATGGATGTAATAATGGAATACTGAATGGTTTAGTTTATGTAAAATATGCAGGGATTTATGATATGTAAAATGAACCATGGAAAGAGAAGGAGGGAAGTCATTGATATTTTAAGGATGTTTAAATGAGTATTGAAAATTGTAAAACATTACACACACACACACACACACACACACACACACGGAATTTGAAGTTTCCTGCAAGGAATATAATTAGTTAGCATCTTCAAGTTACACAAAATAAGACGTATTCCACAGTTTGGTACCTCTGTTTTGTTTTTTGTTTTTATTTGTATGTAACAAGCAAGTAATATGTAAGTTTGATGGAAGCTTACCTATCTTGATTGTGTCAGTAATTAATGCTATGTGTGCGCCTTGGTTTTCCCAGTAGTGATGTATGGAAGTGAGAGCTGGACCATAAAGAAGGCTGATCGCCGAAGAATTGATGCTTTTGAATTATGGTGCTGGAGAAGACTCTTGAGAGTCCCATGGACTGCAAGAAGATCAAACGCATCCATTCTTAAGGAAATCAGCCCTGAGTGCTCACTGGAAGGACAGATCGTGAAGCTGAGGCTCCAGTACTTTGGCCACCTCATGAGAAGAGAAGACTCCCTGGAGAAGACACTGATGCTGGGAAAGATGGAGGGCACAAGGAGAAGGGGGCGACAGAGGACGAGATGGTTGGATAGTGTTTTCGAGGTTACCAGCATGAGTTTGACCAAACTGCGGGAAGTAGTGGAGGACAGAGGTGCCTGGCGTGCTCTGGTCCATGGGGTCACGAAGAGTCGGACACGACTAAACGACTAAACAACAACAACATGCACTCTGTATTTGTAAAAGGCCTCTGATCAATGTAACCAGCTTTATTCTGGACTCTGGCCCCTTGAGAGTTTGGATGGCAACTACACTTCTGTCCTGGGCAAATTGCTGCCAAAGTATATGGAACTTGGCCACCCCTGGCTTACACAAAACCAACTACCTTGGTCCATATGCATAAGGGAAGGAAAGACATGATTCACATGCTTGCACATTGGTCATTGCTGTAGAGGGAAGTGAGGAGCAGATGAGGCTCATCAACCTGGGAAGGTAGCATTGCAAGATATCTTCAGGAGAAGAAAATGCTATGGAGTAAACCCTACACAAATCTGGAGTGGAGTCCCTAAGATGTATCCATCCTTCCATCAACTCCTGCAGCCAAGCTGGTGCCAAACATACTGCTCTGCTTTCCTTTGAACGACTTCAGCAAGGTCAAGAGGGGGGGTCTTGTTGTCTGGGCAGCCCAGGATCTCCAGACACACTGCCCAGGCTTGCTCCTTGGGGAGGTCACTTCAGTGTTGCTAACACAGTGGTTTGATTTCGCCTCCAGAGGTGTACTCCAGTGTCGAAGCAATGATTCTTCAACATCAACTTCGTTGGACTGGTCTTGTTGTGTGGATGCCTGATTATCATCTCCCAAAGCAACTACTCTATTCTGAACTTAAAAATGGAAAGCGTAATGCTGGTGGTCAACAAAAGAGGTTTAAAGACTTTCAAGGCAAGTCTAAAAGAAATGTAGTATAAACACTGACAACTAGGAAACACTGGCCTGTGAGCGCTCCAATTGGAGAACAGCCTTTACCAAAGGTGTCATGGACTTTGAAGACGCTCAAACTCAGGAAGGACATGTGGATCCAGAATTGGCCTCCACAGTCACTTACGGACTCACTGTTAAGACTGTGTTCATGGAAGACAATCTTATTCGGCTATGAGTGATCACCAAAGAAGAAGAAGACGACGACTCCATTGTCTCTCGAGACAGACAGATGCCAACATCAACATTGGTCTTTAGAGGGGCCCAGGTGATGTAACTGATTCATGCCAGTACCAATAGGCTTTTGCCTACACTCTGGTCTGTATGATCCAAGTTGCTTCTCCTAAGGAATTATGATGCAATGGCAGAGGGTTAAAAGGAAGATTTAATCCATGCTGTGAGAGCTGCAAGCAACTTTGCATCATGTGCTTCCATGATGCAGCATGACCTTTGAGCACGGCCAATGTAGCCTGCAAATTTCAGGAAGATTTCTCAGATGAATATCATCTATTTGGGGACTCCGCACCACCTGCAAGAAAGGTAGGTAATTCACCCACCACCTTGTCATAGAAGGTCTTTCTGCCTGTGGTTTAAATATAATGACATTTTCCTGTGGCTGAAACCACTTTTCCTGTCCCAAACAATAAAGATGTAAAAACCTGCAGGCTCATAGCAGTTTTCCACAGAGGAAATGTAAAGGATTTGAAATGGAAGGAGAAAGTTTCAAGAGAGCTGAAAGAACTTTGGCCAGCCTTTGAGATAATGGTTTGCAGTCAAGCTCACATGTATAGGAAGTCTGCCCAAAACTGATCTCTCTCTCTTAAAAGTGGAAAAAAACTGAATGCTAACTTCTGTGTGGTTTTGACATGAAAATATTATTTCTAGGATACGTAATTGAACAGAACCTGAATGACTCAAACAAGGCCTTGGGAAACTTTCAAGCTGTCAAATGGTCACAGTAATATTCATAGAATTACTGGCTATTATTACTATTATAAATAAATTTGTATACCGCCCTATACCTGCAGGTCTCAGGGCAGTTCGGAGGATAATAATATAATAATTTAATAATGGGCAGCTCCCAACCAAATATTAAAAATACAATACAGTATTAAACATTAAGAACTTCCCTAAACAGGGCTGCCTTCAGATGTCTTTTAAAAGTCAGATAGTTGCTTATTGCCTTGACATCTGATGGGAGAGCGTTCCACAGGGCAGGTGCCACTACCAAGAAGGCCCTCTACCTGGTTCCCTGTAACCTCACTTCTCGCAGTATACATAATCAAAACAAAAACAACCCATTAATGCCCCCAACACATTCTAAAAGGGCGTTGGAGGAGAGTTTTTGCCTGGTACCTAAATGTGTATAATGAAGGCACCAGGTGAACCTGGTTCATGCAAAGGACAGGTCTCACTTCATGGTTACAAATAGATTCCCAGAAAAAATGCACCTTTAGCAACATGCACACATTTGGAAACATGCAGGTGTACTCAATACATGTGCTGAGCTTGATGCACACCTCCTGCCCTTGCATGTTCAGTCTGTTCCACGTGATTATGGACACCAAACTCACTCATCCGCTCCCTCTTTTTGCCTTAATGCTCGCTCACATAAAAGCTATAGATTGTGTGCACCTGCTCATTCAGGAGAGTTCTCACACCAACAGTGGTGCAATGGATGACTCTGCTCAAGAACATGTGGAAAGGAATGTGGATCGTGACAAATCTCATTCTCTCCCGTGCAAATCTCCTGGATAATCTGCTTCCTGTCACATATGTCTGGAAGTGAGCCAAAGTGGTTAAATCATCCATGCACACAAACACACCATTGTCATCTCTTTTGCTATTCGTCGTGAATTTATGCAGCTACTTTCCTTTCCTTTATCTTATTTATGATTTTCAGTTTTATACATTTCAATAATTTTACCACCATTTTAACATACAAAAACTTATGGAATATGCAGGAATGGCGAAACTTACTGGAAGAATAAGAAATCAAGATAAACTTTTTATAAAAGAATGGAAATAGTTTATGGACTATTTACAAACAAACTGCAAACAGATAAAAACATTGGCAGGGTTATTGTAATAACCTGCAGTTTTATAAAAGTATATAATTAAAGCAGATGAATAAATGAGCAAATTAAGTTAATTTGGATATGCAGAAAATATTAAAAATAAATTTAAGAGGGGGAAGTAAGTCAAGGTTTGAATGTTATAATGATTGTAAAATTAGTGAAATGTATAAAACTGAAAAGTATAAATATTTTTTAAAAAATAAAAACCCCCAGCTACTTTTAAATCCCATTAATATTTGTCTGTAACCTGGTGGGACCAGAAATTCACGGAAGACTGGAGTAAATGTACGGACTACTTGAAAAGTATTTGTGAAGATCAGACGATGTTTGTAGGTTTGCAAGAAGTTTTGTGAGGAGTATTATTGGAAGTATTGCAAAAATGGAGAAGGGGAAGGATGATCTGTTAAGAGATGTAAAGGCAATATAAAGTTAAGAAATGCATAAGAACTGGTTAAAACGGTGGATCATCAGAGGTGCTGATGGAAGTCTAAAAAGATTGTATAAGTGATAAGTTTTGTGGTACATTTTATAATTTATATGTTAAAATCAATAATTTTTTTTTAAAAAAATATATTTGCCTGTAACACTCACTGGGTACTTCTGGTGTGTGGTTCAATAGGCTATAGATGCTGATATGCATCACTGTATTCTTCGTATCCTTTTGATATGGCAATAAATTGGGCTCAGAGCAGGCAGTTGAGACTTGGTCTGCCAAGCTGCATTAAGAGGAACCGGAAAGATGTGCACATTCCTTAGCTCAGACAACCTCTCCAGCAGAGGGCAGTATTGCACACACTGTTTAGCACAACGTTTTGAATATTTGAGAATTAATTGAATCTCATTCTGTTGTAGCAACTGCAATGAAGAGAACCCTGTAGAAACGAAAGACTTGGATGGGCAAAAGTGACCATTGCAGCTTCTCTCAGCTTCCATATTTTGAAGTTAGGGAAGTTTTAAGTGAAGGAAGTTAGGGTTTTGGAAAAAAACCCCGATGAAAATAAATCACAATTTTTATGAATATTTCTCCTGATCTGCACATTTGTGTGTGCATTTTTTCCTAATCTATGCATTTTTGCAAAACAATTTCCCACTTATAATGCATTTTTGTATGTTATTTTCACTAATATATGTACATTTACACTAGTATATGCATTTTTGTGCACATTACCTGTCTGAATAACTGCATCGCAATATTTGGGAACAGCAAATTTCAAATGATGACTTTGTTTTGGTTCATGTATTGTTTTGGAAGTCTGGTAGGCCTGCCTTTAAATGCAACCTGAACTGAATTTATCCCACACCCCTAGTTGTATTATAATAGCTAGTCTTTAAGGTGCCACTCTGAGGACACAGGTGGTGCTGTGGGTTAAACCACAGAGCCTAGGACTTGCCGATCAGAAGGTCGGCGGTTCAAATCCCCGTGATGGGGTGAGCTCCCGTTGCTCAGTCCCTGCTCCTGCCAACCTAGCAGTTCGAAAGATCGTCAAAGTGCAAGTAGACAATTAGGTATCGCTCCGGCGGGAAGGTAAACGGCGTTTCCGTGCGCTGCTCTGGTTCACCAGAAACGGCTTAGTCATGCTGGCCACATGACCCAGAAGCTGTACGCCGGCTCCCTTGGCCAATAAAGCGAGATGAGCTCCGCAACCCCAGAGTCGGTCACGACTGGACCTAATAGTCAGGGGTCCCTTTACCTTTACCTTTAAGGTGCCACTGGACTATTTGTTGGTTTTGTATACCTGAGGCAATTTCTGCCTCTGCAAACTATGGCTTTAATTGAAAAGACACATGAAAGACAAGCCCCCACTAATTTAAGCATAAGGTCACTTTGGAGAGATGAGGATTAGCCTTGAAGGTTTTTTTAAAGATCTGAAAATAGAAAAGAAAAATGCATCAACTAGAACACAAAGGAGTTAATATTGGTATTTAGCTTTTAAGCATTCCATTCACACACAAGCAAACCCATTCATCCATCATTTTTTCATTTCCCTACACACAGAGACTAGAATCGGCATTCCATTGCAAATATCAGGTACCGCTGAGCAGATACAAGTCTGAACCCTGGCATCCGCAACAAGAGGGCTTTAGCCCTTTGCCCCATGATGTGGTCCTGATCCGGAGACCTATGCCTGCAATGTGCATTGCCAAACAGCAAGCAAAAAGAACAAAAGCTGTTGGGTTAAACTTCCTATTCCTAGGAGCCAGCATGGAGGTTGAGGAGGATAGGGTGTGTGTGAAGAGGAGAGGTCCTGGGGGCCAGATGGGAAGACTTTGGGGGCCACAATAAGCCTATTCTTTACTTATTTATACCCTGCCCATATGGCTGGGGCTCCCCAGCCACTCTGGGCAGCTCCCAACAGAATATTAAAAGCACAATAAAACATCAAACATTAAAAACTTCCCTAAACAGAGCTGCCTTCAGATGTCTTCTAAAAGTCAGATAGCTGTTTATTTCCTTAACATCTGATTGGGGGGGGGATGTTCCACAGGGCAGGCACCACTACCAAGAAGGCCCTCTGCCTGGTTCCCTGTAACCTCACTTACCAAAGTGAGGGAACTGCCAGAAGGCCCTCAGAGCTGGACCTCAGTGTCCAGGCTGGACGATGGGGGTGGAGACACTCCTTAAGATATACTGGGCCGAGGCCATTTAGGGCTTTAAAGGTCAGCACCAACACTTTGAATTGTGCTTGGAAACATACTGGGAACCAATGTAGGTCTTTCAGGACCGGTGTTATGTGGTCTCAGTGGCCACTCCAGTTACTAGTCTAGCTGCCGCATTCTGAATTAATTGTAGTTTCCAGGTCACCTTCAAATGTAGCCCCACATAGAGCGCATTGCAATAGTCCAAGCGGGAGATAACTGGAGCATGCACCTCTCTGGCGAGACAGTCTGCGGGCAGGTAGGGTCTCAGCCTGCGTACCAGATGGAGCTGGTAGACAGCTGCCCTGGACATAGAGCCTCTTAGTTGAAAGCTCCTCAGAAGGTTGGCGGTTCAAATCCCCGTGATAGGGTGAACTCCCGTTGCTCAGTCCCTGCTCCTACCAACCTAGCAGTTGGCAGGAGCAGGGACCGAGGAACGGGAGCTCACCCCTTCGTGGGGATTCGAACCGCCGACCTTCTGATCGGCAAGTCCTAGGCTCTGTGGTTTAACCCACAGCTCCTCCTTAAGCAAAGTTCTCCACCCAAATTTAAGCACAGATATATTTTCTATTACCTGACACATCCAAGTGTTCCAGGTTGGGACACAGCGACACCACATCGAAGACCGCCTCGTTGGAAATATTGTAGCAACCCGACACCTCTAACTGCCTCAGTTCAGGGCAGCATTGAGCAATAGTATAGAGTCCTCTGTCTGTGAGCCGCCTGCAGCCACTAACAATTACCGTCTCCAACATGAGACAGACGTTGGGCGTGTCCTGGCAAAGTCGCCTGGTCAGCACCTTCAGGGCTCTGTCCACGTTGATTGTTTCGCCTGTCAAGCGAATAGTCCTCCAGAGATGGGGGTCCCAAGCAAGATTATACCAGCGGCGACACACACGGGCACAGCGGCACAGCTGGTTGGTAGGCAGGAAAGAGAATATCTGGATCACTGAATGGTCCGGCAGCCGGTCGATGTTAGCCCGTTCCTTCTGAAGTCGGGAGGCAGACCGGATGAGAGGATGGGTGAGGCGGGTTGGTGGAGGCGAGTGAACCATCGCGATGGTCTCCCCGGTAATTGAAGAGGACGATGTGGAAGATCCACGGCCATTCTGTAAAATGTGTGAGTTTGGCGGACATATTAGCGCTGGGCTGGGCGTGCTGAGAGTCCGCATGCTCAGGTCCGAATCTGAAAGAAACCAAAACACATAGAGATGAGAATGACCCATGTTTTGGAGGAGCCCATGTTTTAAAATATCATGAAGTCATCAGAAGGATTTGGATTCTTAGCAATAGAAGATGCCCCCAAAAAACTGATTGATGGTGCTAATCGAAATCAGATATTGCCCCGATTTGGCCATGACTTATGTCAGGAACGAACCAGAGCAAGCCTTGGGCTTGTATGCTCTCCTGTGTTCTGTTGGGACCAGGAGTTCGTAAGTCCTTCCTTCCTTCCTTCCTTCCTTCCTTCCTTCCTTCCTTCCTTCCTTCCTCTTTCTTTCTTTCTTTCTTTCTTTCTTTCTTTCTTTCTTTCTTTCTTTCTTTCTTTCTTTCTTTCTTATAGTTTCTTATAATTTGTTGTGTCACCTGGAGTCATAAACTGTGGTTACCCCTAACTATGATTAATGTCTTACAAGCCAACAGTCTTCTCCCAATAAAGTTTGAAAAAAGATATACAAAAGTTAATGTCAAAATTTCCAGTATCTTTTTATATCAAAGATAAAAGAAACTAATCTAAATAAAAACAAAACAAAGGAAAACAAAGAGAGAAAGAAAAAAGAAATTCCAATTCTTCGTCGGTCAGCTATATATGTAGAAAAATATTCAAAACACCCACTCCAAGACAACACCCAACAATTCCACTTTCTATAAACCAATATTTTTTTCCATCCTCAAACCCAGATATCACAAGTCCATTTTCTTTTTCATGTAAAAAGTCAATAAGGGGTTTCTAGCCTTTTGTAAATATTGACAACGATTTTTCTCTAACTAAACACATCAGCTTCACCAACTTGTAAGGCAAAACATGGGCTATGAATCTGGCTTTCTAAAATTAACCATAGTATTAACCAAAGTTCTCAGTTCAGATGACACAGGAAGCTGCAGTTAAGTAGAAGTAGATGATTCCAAACTCCTCTGGACTGCATGCTCTGTCGAAACTATGATATACTGCAAAGTATGAACATAGCTGTTCGAGTCACAGGAATGACTAACAGAACATGCATTTTATTAACAGATTCCTATACTGTAAACGTGGGACGTGGGTGGCGCTGTGGGTTAAACCACAGAGCTTAGGACTTGCCAATCAGAAGGTTGGCAGTTCGAATCCCCGCGATGGGGTGAGCTCCCGTTGTTCGGTCCCAGCTCCTGCCAACCTAGCAGTTTGAAAGCACATCAAGTGCAAGTAGATAAATAGGTACCACTCCGGCAGGAAGGTAAACCGTGTTTCCGTGCGCTGCTCTGGTTCGCCAGAAGCAACTTAGTCATGCTGGCCACATGACCCGGAAGCTGTACGCCGGCTCCCTCGGCCAATAAAGCGAGATGAGCACCGCAACCCCAGAGTTGGTCACGACTTGACCTAATGGTCAGGGGTCCCTTTACCTTTACCTATACCGTAAACACAGATATGTACTACCAACTCTTCATACTTAGATATAAGGAAATAAGTACGAAAATTCAGCGATAGGGAAGTGTATAGTTTTCCCTAAGCATGTATTTAGAGGGTTTTCCCAGGAAACTACTGTCAGGTACACTACAGGGTGTACTGAGAAGGGAAACCCTCCCACATTTCAGTTCATCCTGTCCATTTTTCCTTCCTAGATCCACTGGTACACGGCCCCTGGTCACTTTTCCCAAAGGAAATGTGGCCCTCAGCTCTGAAATGTTGCTTAAAGGTAAAGGTACCCCTGACCACTAGGTCCAGTTGTGGCCGACTCTGGAATTGTGGCGCTCATCTTGCTCTATTGGCCAAGGGAGCCAGTGTACAGCTTCCGGGTCATGTGGCCAGCATGACTCAGCCGCTTCTAGCGAACCAGAGCAGCGCACGGAAACGCCGTTTACCTTCCCACCGGAGCGGTACCTATTTATCTACTTGCACTTTGACGTGCTTTCGAACTGCTAGGTTGGCAGGAGCAGGGACCGAGCAACGGGAGCTCATCCCGTTGTGGGGAGTTGAACCGCCGACCTTCTGATCGGCATGTCCCAGGCTCTGTGGTTTAACCCACAGCGCCACCCGTGTCCCTCATTGCTTACTCGTCAAAGCCATTCAACAGGGGATTTTTTTTATAACTGAAGGAAGATAGCTTTACTGGCATTGATTCTAGACACAGTTGTAAGCAGGGTGGATTTGATTTAAATCAAATCAATTTAAATCACAATTTAAATTACAATTTAAATCACTAGTCAGTAACACTTGATTTATTTATTTATTTATTATTTATTTTTATGAAAGACTCATTCTTGCTGGTATCATCTTAATATTTACAACCAGAGGAAGGTTTTATTTTTGGAAGAATAAATTTTCAGAGTAGTTTTACAGTTTTACAGTTATATCAAAAATTATTGATTTGGTTATACCTATTAGAAATACACAGACACATAATTATGAAATCCTTGTGCAATTTAATATGTTAAAATAATCAGAAATTATTGTGAGGTTGAATAAAGAGGCCAAATAAAAGGTCATGCTCAATCTCTACCCACAAATCCCCCAGCCCCCGCCAGCATCCGGCATTGCTTTAAGCGAGCAGAGAAATTAAAGGTTGACAATTGGGTGAGGCTTCCTCCAAAACCTCTTAATCAGCTCTTGGCAGAGACGCTCAGTCCTGTCAGACACTTGCAGATTTGAGGAAAGGTTGACCTTTTACCTTGTCATGACTAAGACTCCCTTTCCTATCCCAGATCAGATAACAAGGTGGCTTCTCGTGTCAGCACCATACAATGTTTCTTGTGCTAGCGCAGGGATCAGCATAATGCACAACTACACCCTTTGGGGACCATAACTATAAAACAATGCAGTTTTCAGGTTTTAATACTGTCACCTGCTCTAAGACGTCTACATGTTTGCTGGTACAATGCAGAGCAGGCGCTGCAACTTCTAGGAGAGTTCCTCACCATAAAAACATAAGAATACACTTGTAGGAGCAAACCAGCAGTCCACCTGTTCTAGCATCCTGTTCTCACAGTGGCACAACAGCAGTCTCCCCTCTTGGGGTTTCCAGCTACTCAATATTATCTTTCCACAAGAGCCAACACTGATGCCGAAATCCAGCATCGTCTGAACTCTGCAAGTGCAGCTTTCTCCCCACTGAAGCGCAGAGTGTTTGAGAACCGGGACATTCACAGGGAAACCAGAATGCTTGTTTACAAAGCTATTGTACTACCAACCTTACTGTATGCTTGGGAAACATGGACCACTTATAAACGCCATCCTCAACTCCTCGAAAGATTCCATCAACGGTGTCTCCAAAGATTTTTACACATCACTTGGGAAGATAGGAGAACTAATGCCAGTGTACTGGAAGAAGCAAAGATCACCAGTGTTGAAGCGATGATTCTTCAAAATCAACTTCGTTGGACAGGCCATGTTGTGTGGAGGCCTGATTATCGTCTTCCAAAGCAACTACGCTATTCCAAACTTAAAAATGGAAAGCGTAATGCTGGTGGTCAACAAAAGAGGTTTAAAGACTCTCTCAAGGCAAATCTAAAAAAATGCAGTATAAGCACCAACAACTGGGAAACACTGGCTTGCGAACACTCCAATTGGAGAACAGCCTTTACCAAATATGTCATGGAATTTGAAGACGCTTGAACTCAGGATGAAAGGGAGAAAGGTGCTAAGAGGAAGACACATTCGGCAAACCCTCACCATGAACAACTCCCACCCAGAAACCTATGTCCCCACTGTGGAAGGACATGTGGATCCAGAATTGGCATCCACGGTCACTTATGGCTCACTGTTAAAACTGTGATCATGGTAGAGAATCTTACTCGGCTACAAGTAATTGCCAAAGAAGAAGATTTGGGAGCATCTGACTCTGACTATGGTGTGAAGTGAACAGAGAAATCACCAGTCCTTCTTCATACCTTTTTATATATTTCCCAAGCATTCATGCCCTATCACTGTCTCTGCTAGTTTACAGTCATACAAAGAACAACAGCTTTAATGATAGCGTGGTATTGGTAAAGTATAGCGGGAGGGCAATTTAAAATTGCCCTGTGTGCTTTAAACATTATTTTCCACCAAACAAGATAACTGGCTTGTTTTATCAAGGCACTTAATTGCAACACTTGTTTAAAATGCTGGGATGTGTGTATTTATATTATGGGGAACTCAACATTGAAAAGGCAGGCCATTACTTTCCCCTGTGTGATTATTGGAGCTATTTTGCACGATGATTATAATTATAGTTTCCCTCCAATTCTCAGGATTGTTTGTTGACCCTGAAATAAGGAGGAGGAGTGGTTGTTTGATGAAGAATGTGCAGCTATGCAGCGGTGTAAGCCCTTGTTCCCTGTACCAGATGTGAAGATTTAGTGCCATAATGAGAAGAGATTGTGTATAAACATGCACTGCGGAGTCAAATATTGAGGTCAGAAGTGCAGCACGTGTGCATATTGTATATTATTTTAATTTTTAGGCCAGCTTTCTGCAACCACCTGCCCATGGTGACTTGCGACAGTTACAAAATACCTTTAATAATATTATCAAAAGCACAAAACAAGTACCCCAAAAAGCAAGAGCAGGAAAAAAGGGCAGTTGATGCAAAACCACTATCACTCTTCACCTCCCACCGATGAGCAACTGAGATGCAGCGACAAAATTCTGTCTTGATACTTTTCATTCATTCAGCCCAATGGGGAGAGGAGAGCTGAGCCGCCTTGTAACATGTGGTCTCATTCAAATGGATTTACTTACTAAGGATCTCCTGAGGCTCTGGGTTGGTACAGTGTCGGTGAACAAGTGCATCAAAAGGGTTGTCAGGATTTACTCCTTGCCTGTACTTCCAGATTCTTAATGGGCACCTGTGAGATTGTACAGCACATATGGTGGTGGAGACAGGTTGGTTCATATTGATACCAGTGTGTGGCTGATGGTTGGGTACTATTTGCCCACTTAAAAAGCAGCCCGTATAGTTAAAGCTATGGTTTCCCCAGTAGTGATGTATGGAAGTGAGAGCTGGCCCATAA